CTGCCGCCAGGCCTCCGTTCCGGCTCCCCGTTCGGTAGGGCACCCTGCGGGTCGGCCCTCACCCTCGTTCAACGCGTTTGTGCCCCTCCTCGCGTTACAGGTTTTGGCTTGTGACCAAGGAAGATGGGCACATGGTTACCGCCCGCCAGGAGCCACGGCTGGTCCTCATTTCTGTCAGCTGCGAAGACGGGCACCTGACCTTGGATGCCCCAGAAATGAAGCAGCTCAGCTTGCCCATAAAGCTCCCCAGGAAAAATCCCGTGCAGAACTGCAGGTACTGAAGAAGGGGGATGGGGAGGGGTTCCCTCTCTTCTCTCTAAATATGGTCTCTTCCTTACAAGCTTTGCTTTTTAAGACTGTGATGGTTTGCGTTTTCTTATGCAAAAATTGGAGGGTGAAAGTTGGGTGTCTGCCTCTTTCTGTGGGGGTCTCTCTCCCCATCTGCTTAAGAGAGAGAGATTTCAGACCAGGGCCTGTAGCGACAGGACAAGGGGCAGTGGATTTAAACTAGAAAGAGGGTAGGTGTAAACTAGGCATAAGGAAGACATTTTTTACGATGAGGGTGATGAGACACTGGAGTGGGTTGCCCAGAGAAGTTGTGGATCATCATTGGAAGTGTTCAAGGCCACCTTGGGCAGGGCTTTGAACAACCTGATCTAGTGAAAGGTGTCCCTGCCTGCGGCATGAGGGTTGAACTAGATGATCTTTAAAGGTCCCTTCCAGCCCAAACCATTCTCTGATTCTGTGAAATTCTCTGCCATGTGTTATACAGGAGGCCAGGATTGATTGTCATAACAAAAGGTCTAGCTTTAATCTGCTAAACGCTGGTGAAAACAAATCTCGGGAAAAGATGATGCAATATTCAAAAAACATACTTTATACATCTGCCAAATGAACTGTGATCTTCAGTCTTCATAGACTGTCACGTTTACTCATTTGTGTTTACTTCTAGTGTTTTCATTTTTGCCTGGGTGAGCAATTGCATCTCAGAGCCTCAGTCATGCATATTGGTATTTCTCGGTCGCCTCTAGTATATGCATCAACATTTCTGGATATACACTGGCCATTTGGAATTGGTGAGATGTTGGAGTTTAGATTCCCTCACCTCTGTCTGTAGGCATTTAACTGGGGTGCCTGAATTAAAAAGTTGGTTGCCCGAAGCTCACTCTGTGGTCACAGGGCATCCCTAGAGAGCAAGTCTTTCCCTGTAGGTGCTACCTCAGAGGGGTTTCAGGTGAACAGGTTACAAACATAAGTCATTTAGCTGCGTGCCTGGAATTTTGTTGTATGATGCAGGCCTAGTTGTTTTATCCATGTATTGAAATGCAAGCTGGAAAATTGCCAGGGGGAAGCAGAAAACCTTTTCTCTTCTGAAATGTCAGTTAACATACAAGACTATTTAGTAACTGTAAATGGCGTTACCCCCTACAGAGATGCTGATAAGTGTTTTTCCTTTGGATAGCAGAGAAAGTTAATGTACCAGCTGCTATAATTAAAACTAAAAGAATGCTGGAAAGGAACTGTATTTGCTAGCTTTTAGCATAAATCTGTTGCTGTGGAAACTCTTGATCAGCATAGCTGAGTATCTCTCTTTATACAAGGCAGGTGCAAGTTACAAATGATAGCAATTCTCGTGGAGAAATAGGGCTGTCTTTTAAAAATCTGTCTATAACGTGTATATGTTAGCCAATGACATATACACTACAAAACCATGCAGTTTTCAAGATGTTATTTTTCTAAAATTTGTTGTGCCATTAGAAAAGTATTTAAATAGACTAAATACATTTCAGCAATGAAAAATTATCTTGGATTTTCCAATTTTAGATCTCAGTGATTTGTTCTCTCTTTTTTTTTTTTTTTTTTCCTCTTTCTTTGCTTAATAAACTATTGCACTCTCTGGCTTTAAAATTGCTAGAATTTGGGAATGCAAATAAGCAGAAGTTAGATGCATATAAATGGGCTTTAAAAATTATCAAGTTGTCTGGTATTGTAGGTGGTATCATACGATGTGAAATTAGCGATACCAGTAGTTAAATGTTGCCTTGTACTTCTCAAGAAGAATCCTGAAGTTTTGTACAACTCTGTGGTGCTTAAACAATTTGCCATTTGTCAGATCAAGGCTGTTCCTTTCTGATCCGTTCAGCCATTCATAAGAATGAGGTTTGGGAATGGCACTATATTCAGGCAAATGAAGGTTTGGCTTTTCCTCTGAGACTCTTCCCCTCCAGCTTGTGCATGGGAGTAGCTGTCTTGCTGTGCGGTACGTTCTGCTGGCAAGGCCCTCTGCACAGACTTGTATTTATTCAGATTGGTGCTGGCTTGTGCCCAGTAGTTTGGAGCTGAGGCAATGCAATAGTGCACCTGGCTGCAAAAGGCTGCGCAGATGTTAATCTTTAAAACTGGTAAGTCCAGTTGCAGATTTTACTTGGATATTTAAAAATCTTGTTTTGGGGAGCCTAATGTAGGACTGAAGCCATTGTGTAGGCACAGTTTCTATTTGTACAACTAACATGCTAGAGGGTTTTTACAGCCCTCTATTTAGGAAGCCTCTGTGTTCTTCATTTGTGCCCTTTGTATGTGTTGTGATATTTAAATTCCATGATGTATTCCTGTGGATCCCTGTACCACTGAGTGCTTAGGACAGATCTGCTTCATGGGTGGGAAACTAGTGTTGAAAGCTGTAAGCCCCTCACCCCTACTTATGCCAGCCAGAAGGCACACAGGGACTGAGAGAATGGGGGGAAGAGAATGGCAGTTGAATGGTGTATGGGGCAATGGCATTTAGTCCCAACCTGTACCACAGAGTTGATCCAGGGATCCCAGCAAACAGAGCAGGAATATTGCTGACAGCACCCAGATGGTTTCTCTCTCCCCCAGATGAGTAAAGGAGGGTTCCTAGGAGCTGGGCTCGGATGAGCTGCCTGGGCATCTCTCTCTGTCTTAAGCTGTCCCAGGTATGATTGCAGAGGTGGAGGAAACTGTAGTGCATTGGGGTCAAAATCACTACTTTGAAGAGAGTGGTAAAACTGTTCATGACCAGAGTTGATGATTATTGGAAGATTGAGTTGAAGTTTACTTTTTCTTGCCAGTGAAGTGTTCCTTGTGTAAACTTGTTTGGATTCTGCTGCCAATGGCTTTTTGTGCCCCATGAACTTTGCTTCCTTTATAAATCTTTAACCTCTATAGGATATAGACTAGCCCCATATTTTAAGTTTGAGCTCGAGTTTCTCCCGGTTCTGGCTAAACTTTTACAGCGCTAAAAACTGCAGGAAAGCTTCTTTAACAATCAGGGACATTTACAATTAATAACATTTGTAGGTATCAGTTACAGTAACTAACCACATCCTTTCAAACTATCCTTCACTTTCTGAAGTTGATTACCTTTCAGTGGATTTCTGGGCAAATGTTTCGGTGTTGCAGTCACATGCAAATGGAGGAGTAGACCCTTTTTTTGCTTGAAAGTATGGCAAACAGGTAGGTTTGTTACTGGTCATTGATGTGACAGTTAGCTCTGGGCACCTAAAGCCTATTTTGTGGCTCATCCTTTCACCAGCTGATACCATCTGGCCACATCCATCAGCTTCCAAAATGTCGCCATAAGGAAATTGCGCACTGGGAATGATCCCTGTGCCAAATTCAGAAACCGACTTCCACCTCATTATACTTCAGACAGTTTGTTTACTGTATCTTGCTACTACTTTAAAACAAGTTGTTTCCCATTGAATAATAAGCATGGTCGAACCTTTGGCTTTCCAACTAAC